CCGAAATAAAGTCGGGGAACGTATACCGTTGTGCATATATTCGCTGGCCGCGTGCACTCCACGCGATCGTAGGTGGTCTCCTCTCACCTCTCTCTAGCGAGAGTCGGAGTCTCTCTTTGCCGTATCTCCACCGAAACTCGTGCACCTCGACAGACGGCGCTGCTTGCGCCTCTCTGTTGCTTGGCCCTTGTACAAACACCGATAATCGAACGCGTCGCGTCGTCCCCCTAAGCAGCCAGCTCCGGCAACCAGCTTTCTCGCGATTCCCTTTGATGACCCTTCGCCGGAGCCAAACACGATTCTCATCAATGATCGATCGAAACCGTCCAACCGTGATGTTTTCCTTCTCCTACGAGTCCATCTGGCTGTCAGGGATCCTTCCGGGGAAAGCGCATTATCCACGCGAAGAGATTGAATCGTTGGAAGATTTACGTTGACGCGGATCGGCGGAAAGGCAGAGGCCAGATAGTTGCGAATGGCAGGGAAGCACGCAACGCGCGCCACTATTTCGATGAGTTCGTCGCGTTTATGGCGGTGGCAGAGAAGAGAAAGAGAGAGAGAGAGGAGATAAGATCCGAATCGGGGACGGGTTTGCTCGACTTATATGCGAAACGTAAATTTCGCAGCGAGATAGCGATCAGCCATAACCTATTTCCGGCCGAGGAGGCCTCGATCGAACTCTCCCCTCGAACCAACGGAGGATCCTCTTCCTCGTCCTCCGCGAAACTGTCTGCTCGCGTAAAGATTATTACCCTATCGAGAGGAATCGTGAACCGTTGGAGAAAGAGCATCTACCATCTCTCGACTGGTGGGTCGAAACACGGTAAATCCATGACGTTTGAGGAGAAAAAAAATCTCTCGCGGTGATCGGCTTTCCTGGTGTCTCTATAGTGAATGGCAGCCAAGAGGACAGGGACGATCTTATATTGTGAAAGATCGAGTCCAGCTGTGTGCGCTCTGTCCGGAGGTAGATCGAGAGGTGGAGGAAAGGGGCATGCAGGTGTGCGTGAGTGCAGGAGGCGAAATCGTAATCTTAATCGCCTTCGAGTAGCCTCTCGTCTCTTGGATCGGGCAACAGGTTCCCCCGCGCGATTCAATCGTGTCTTCGGTTATATACGCGCGAGAGCCGACCTCTTACAAGCATATGGTAAGAACAGGCTCGTTACGTCACTCATCCATCTCCTTCGGCGACCTCGGCTATTGATTTATCGTCCGAACGGGCATTCTCATTTCTTTCACCCTGTCGGTGGATGCGTGTGCGTGAGCGATCGTCTCCGATTAGAGGCAGGCCGCATTGTGCCGGTACGGACGGAATCAAGACACGAGACGAGACGGGGCTGCGCGTTGCAGAGAAAGCCCTCTTCTTGCGCAAGAATAATTAGAAATCGAGCCCGTTTTTACGATAACCCACCACCCCACCAGGGACACTCGAACCGAGCATCGATCCTCGAATCGTCGATCTTCCGACAAAATTTCCTCGCATTTTTCATCGTTCTACTCGATCCTCCCTTGATCCACCTCTACCAACCGTTCTTCTTCCACCTGGACTACCAGATATTCCAGGATATTGCGCGCTCTACTCTCCTCCGTGTGCTCTGATTTACCACTGCGAGGGAGAAGAGCACCGGGACCACCGAAGACTTTCCAATTTTTCCCCCCGGTTGCATATCGATGTTGCCCGACTACGCGCGCGCTCTCTTATTTGAATAATATGAAAAATCGAGGATCGCGCTCTAGCAAGCGAGCGCTGCTGCTTGTTCCTCCTCGATAGAAGGGGAGAGAGGGAGAGAGGAAGATAGATAGACGGATAAATGGGTAGAACGGTGGAGAGATGGACGGATATACGGCGTGGCCGTGGGAGAGACAGAGGGAGGAGCATAAAACGCCGTGAGAGAAGAAAGACGCGAGATCGTGTGGAGTGAGTTAGGGCCGGCAGGCAACGCTATGCATACCGTCACACCCAGCGACACGCTCCAAATTTGAAATTTAAATTCGGTACGTCTCACGGGACCGCGTCGTACACCGGTTACTAACACGTGCGCGCTCCTACGTAGCCGCGAGAGTGCGTGAGAAGAGAAGGGGATCGAACCGAAGAAGAAGAAGAAGAAGGGCGGGGGAAGAAAGGGAACACGGGTGAAAGAGGAAGATCCAAGGGATACATCGGCGTTTTCCAACGACCAGCTCGTTTCCGTTTCTCTCGGTAAACACCCTCGGGAATAGTAATTCGACGCTGACCCTGCCGACTTGTCCTCACCGTGCCGCGGCACACCGAGACCGGTAATCTTCTCGTTCCTCGGGCTAGTGTCAGACGATGAACCACGCGAGAAGGTCACCGTTTGACACGCCTCGTCGATCCACACGACCATTAGACGAACATTCTTGAACCCGGCGATTGAACCGGCTGCAAAAATCCCCGTCACTTTCCCTTTCTTCCTCCGAACATTCTTCAGACTACACGACACGTGTGTGTCTGGTCAAGTGGTGCACCTAAGCTTCCACTTTTCTTCGTCAACGTACGTGTAGACCACTCGAAATTAAGAATATAGGAGTGACGATCGTTTGAAGAGCGTTGAAAGCTGAATAACGGCAGATGGAAGAGAAAGGGTGTGCGCATCCATCCCTCTTCCGACGGTATAAATCCTCTCTGTGCACTCGAGGATAGCGGGTCAATCTGGTGGAGGCTTTACCATTGCAGAAGTTTATCAGAGCGGCGAGGAGGGAAACTTGGATGTTACTTTGCGAATTCGACGCGTTCTTGGATGTATCCGAGCTACTTCTGGAGAGTGTTCGAATTAGGCCGGCGCGCTGCAAAGCCCATTACACACAATGAGACGACTTAGAAGGAGAGGTGGAGTAGGAGTATCGGCTCGAGTGGCTTCGACTCGAGGGTCTATTCGCGAGAATTCACGGATACCTATACACGGCGTCCATTACGAAACTCCTTCTCCGCCACTCTCTCTCTCTCTCTCTCTCTCTACTGACAAACAACGAATTCCGTGGTTCATTCGATCCGTGAACCCTTCGTCCACTAGCGTGAAACACGAGAAGATCGAGGAAGCTTAAAAGACATTAACGCGTAGGCGGTAAATAGCTTAGATTAGAGGATTAGGGAAAAGTAATACTCGCGAGAGGGAACTGGTTCGCCTGTGATGCTGAGAGCCAGTCGAGAGTAATTTCGTCCTGTGGCTGAGTGTAGTATGTTCTGGTACGGCATTAACGCGTTCCGCCTGGCATTCACGAGGGACCGCGAAATCCCCTTTGAAAGAGGCGGGAAAGCTGCCGCGAAAATTTGGCGGGGACCAGGAAGAAATGGCAGAGGTAGGCGGCGGGACAATTATTTTCACCGGCGCCCCGTGTGTTTCGACGGTGTCTCGATGAGGTCGGATAATCGCGGTACGCGTGAGAGCCCCTGGGATTCTGCGTGGCTCGTCGAAGCCAGTCGGTGGTAGTAGATAGGAAGGAGGGAGATGGTGTGTAGTGACGATGGCAAAAGAGTCGACGACGACGACGACGACGACGACGACGCTGGGGACAGAAGGGAGAGAGAGAGAGAGAGAGAGAGGTGGTAGAAGCGAGAGGGGGGTTTGGATGGATTTTGCAGCGCGCAGTTTTCACCTTTGAGATTCCATCCGGCGGCAGGGGTGGGTTGTGCACCCGGCGCGGAGCGGCGCGCCGCGTCG